TGTTTGGACCGAGAAAGATTGTGTGACAAAGTAAGATATTTCGCAGAGTTAGCTTTACGGATGGTATTACCATTGGCAGAAAGTTCAGACTGATTACTCAAAAGGGCATGCCTGTTTTAAGGCTAAAAGAAACATCCAGACATTTATCTACATTTAGCATTAAAGATCGGGGCGTAGACCAAGTAACAATTTTTTTTAAACGAACTTGAAGTTGGCAGGAACAGTCGAGGGACAACCGACCACTACATCATGAGCATACTTGCAGGCGATGAAGTTGGGAAGGATGGGAAGGTCCTTAGTACACAGAAAAAAGAAATGGAGACAAAATTGTGCCCTGATAAACTCCAAATTCAACTTGTAGGAGGGAGGAAGATATACTGTTAAAAAAGTGTATCGTGTCCTATGAGTGAAGTAATTAATTAGTACATTCAGCAAATTAGGTGCCAAACCGCAATCCGAAAGACATTGAATGAGAATGCCGCGGTCAAGTGATACGAAAGTATAAGCATAATCAAGAAAAGTTAAACGGACGATGCCAGCCCCTTTATTCAATAAGGATGAAACGGAGTGAACAGCGTGAGCAACAGCATCAAGAGTGGAAAGCGAATGGTTGTAAGCAATCTGAACAGGATCATAGGTGAAAGATAAAAGGGTCAGCCGCTTAAGATGGACTCTTTCGAAAACTTTCAATAATTCTGATGTGCAAGCAATCGGTCGATATTTGGAAGATCCTTTTTTGGGGATTGGTGTTATCCGAGCAGCTCTCCAGCAATCAGGGATGCTTCCAAATGACAAACATAAATTGAACAACTCGGAAATAGGTGGAGCAAGTTGTTCAGCACACCCTTTCAGTAGGACGGGGGACAATCAATCAGGACCATGTGCCTTGTCAGATTTAAGGGACTTCAGTACATTCAGGACTTCCACAAGGGTGACAGATTGGTTCTCCCTGGTCAACTCTTTGGCTCTCAGTCTCATGCACTCAGTGAGACACCGTCATTGTACAGTGAAGCGAAACTTCACTGATCGTTGCCAAACTCATGCATACAAGGTAAGTAAGAATGTATAGGGAGGATGGGGATCAGACCTATTTTTACGGACAAGAAAAAAGCTAACCTCCATGCTCAGCCCACAGACAGCACAGTCCAACTGTACGTGCATACGATTACAAGCCTTCTGGCCTGATAAGAAGTGACAACAAGATCACCAATGATGTCGGTTTGCTCCCATGACCTTCAGTTTCTTCAAACATGCGGTTACGGAGCCTTTTGGACCCCAACCTGGAAGACCAGAGACATACTCTACCTAATCGCTCTGTTCATTTCTTCATGCCTCATCTCCACGGCATCTGCTGACCTCCATGTGATTTTCTCCCTGTTTGCAAAAACCACTGCAGGTAAGGCGCTCTGAGGTAGGCGACCGCCGGATATACGCAATACGTGTCCTAACCAACGGAGCCTGTTGAGTTGAATTCGATGCTACAGCGAGTTCTTGTTCGATGCATTCCCAAACACCCGATGACTTACTTCTGAGTTACTAACCCGCTCACTCCAGCCAACTTGGGCTAGAATAAATAAGCATCGATTGTCGAAAACTGCCACACGACGGATGTCTTCTATCTGCAAATTCAAGGTAGTCGACTCGCCGTAGACACAAATATGAGTAGAGTGAATGCGGTATATTCACATACGTCTGTGGCATTCCTTTGCGAAGGAGTGAACCCATAAGGGATTCACGATCAACTGAGTCGAAGGCTGCTTTTAGGTCAAGGAACAAGACAACCGTTGGTTGACGGTGTATGGCCTAGCTCGAGAACTTGACGCAGAGTAAAGATTTGATCGATACAACCGCGACCTAGTCGAAATCCTGCTTGTTGTTCTCGGATATTTGTCTCCCTAAATAGTGTCAAACGTCGAAGTATGACGGAATCTAATAACTTGGCAAGGTTTGGAATCAAACTTAGTCCACGGTGGTTTTTTCATCCAATTGGACAGCTAAAAGACATCAACCAAAACGGGTGCACCAAAGTGCATGGTTGATGGTTGTTCGAACTAAATTGAACTAAACAATGGTTTGCACGGTCGTTGCGAGATCCCTTCTTGAAAATGGGAACGATCAGTAATATACTCCAGGATTGTGGAATGCACTCAGAACGTGGACGGGACAGCACTTTATTGGCTGGGAGCTGCCCAGCCTCGGTTGGCGGTAGCTGTCCGATAAAGTACGAAGACTTCTCCCACCATCAGGAGGAAGCCCCAGGTAACCCGCTCCTGCGTCCATATAGCGGGTTTCTTTTACCGTTAAACTGCCTCTCCCCATGTTCGTTTGCTGGAGTAACCTCTCCAGGGGCGAGAATGGATAGTCAAAGTCAATCAAGTGCCTAAGTTGTGAGTCTGTCTGCAGCTGTCTGGCCTCTACTCAATACCCTTTCAGGAATGATTGGATCTGTGGCTGTGAAAAGCCATCCTGTGTAGCTAGCAGGGTCATGGAGGCACGCAGGCCATCATACCACGTCAATGTGCAGTCTGATCGTGGTGAACGCGGTTTCATCTTGATGGATTACATTGCAAAGCGAGCAACAAAGCAGTCGCCTCGCACTACTGGTTCTTTGGTCGATTTTTGGAGATACCCGCTCCACTGTAATGCATACATCAGAGCGTTAGGCTTCTGTGGACACTAATCCAAACAGGCATTTGGGTCCCTTTGTAAGGCACTGCTCGTGGTATCCATCCTTACATTGCTGCATTGAGGCCCGGGAGGTGAACAATTGGTCCTCGATACCAAGTGAACAAGTTTTTTTATTTGGTTAGCTATATCTCTCCCGGTTGACGCATTACGGATAAAGTGTTAGCTTGCATACAGAAGGCTTGATTGGCATTTGCCAACTTGAGGAATCTGTGCCACCGCCACGACATCCGACTGTCTGTGAAGGGTCGAGTGTATGCTGCGGCAGTTCGGCCAGTTCTGCTAAACACCGCATAAACTTGACCATTAAGAAAACAAGATAAAGATAAACTGTCGGTGTTCGAACACTGCTGTCAACACAACATTTTATGAATCTAGTGCGGTAAGAGGACGAACAATGCTGAGGTTAGGAGCAACGGTTTAGGTAACCTTGGACGCCCAGTAGAATATATATATATATATATATATATATATATATATATATATATATATATATATATATA